AGGTTTTGGTAGTCCCGCATCAATACGCGTCTTGCGTTCATAAGGTTTGTTTTCGACTATTTTACGTACAGTTGAAAAGGGAATTTCGGTCAAATCTGATGTTGCTTGTAATAGTTTTTTCCCTCGAAACCAAACTTGATATGTAAATGAGAATTTACATATCAAGTTTACATTGAAACATACTGTTTGTGTTTCAATATTCAAATGCATTTTATTCACTGGTATCTCTTTTTCGCATTGTTCACCATCGCTATTGGAATCACTACACAGGAAAAAGTCCGCGTTGTAATCACACTCGTTATTACTATTAGTACTTGTCCAAGGACGCCACATTTTAAACAGATAAAAAAAATTTAAGTGATTATAACTGCACCAATATCGAATTTCAACACTCAAATCGCGATCAGTTCCTGAACTGAATATTAACAACACGAAGTGTATAAACATCCTCGTATTCTATTCGTCACCATAATATGACTTCAAATTCAATTTTATGACTCTTCAGCCAATCATAAAACTCGGTTAGTATAAATTATCCAATATGAACCGTCAATTCTTCAGTCCACGTGGACACTATATCGCAGAGGTATCATTTCTTTGTATTGGTTTTTTTAGCCTTTGAGTTCGCTGATAGCTTTAACTATTCACAATACCGATTACTTCCACTATACTTCTGGGATCACCCCAGTAATTTTCAGTACTAGTAATGTTCAGAGTGCATATATTTGAACATGTTTCCTTGTTCAAAAGTAGATCTGATCATCTCACAATAACAATTTTCATTATTTTCAATACTATCAACAACTATCTTCGTAAATGTTACCTTATAGTACCAAATAGATAAAATACAAAACTTTTTCAATATGTTGAACTGATTCGTTGAACGTATGAAATTTGCAAGCATCTAAAACACTGATTGATAAATACTTTTATTCGATGAAACAGTATTATCAACTACTGAAATTTTTAAGAAAACATGGCATATTCGTATGAAATTTGACACTGATTTAATACGTTGTGAATAATCTATGAAAAATATGCTGATTTGTTGCTGATTTGTTACTGATTTGAATTGATTTGATTATCATTGACAGCAAAGTTTTCCAATGCTTTTGACACTGTACTGCATGGAATTATTTCACTTTTCTTATGAAGTGTTTTATCATTTCTGTTTTGTCAAATCGTAGTACTCTATCGAACGTTCTATTGACTTATCTCCATTCTGACAAATTACATTTTCAAAGCACAGAGTGATGAATATAAAATATAATTCGCAAAACCTGTTTTTCAATTTTATGGGAGTAAAAAAATCTATCAATTTTCATTGTACGGTACCTCGCCAAAAACATTAAGATGATAATAAACGGCTAAACGGGGAGGAGCATAAAAGAAGAACAACAAAGAAAAGAGTTCAAACATGAGGTATACCAGAAAATTTATTTTTATGAAATTTATTTTTAAATAGAATTTCTGTTGGAATATCAGATGATTTCAGAAACTGTGATCAACATATTAGAAATCATGTTTAGTGTGCTATTTTCGACTACATGTTAATATTCTTCTGATAAATAAGCAAATAGGATATATACATAGTACTCGAAAAATATGGCGCATTTTATATTTCTGTTTGCAACCTTCGAAATTACGTCATGATTTCACATCTAGTCTATTTTCAATTAGGAAAACAAACAGTTTGATATCGATTGTTTAAATAAAACAAATAAGGATCCAACGATAATTACCGATTGAGTGAATTCAATGTATACAGGAATAGCTTACGCATTTATCGGAGATAGAAAAGCCATTTGTGATAAAGTAATGGAATGAAAGCCACGTTTTAATGCATTCTAGATAAGTTTGAGATATATCTTGTTGAAGAATTGCAGATTATTGGACAATAAAAAACACTATCTACGTTTTTATCACGTCTTACGATTTTATTCAATGCTTGTTCAAAGCATTTATCTAGATGTTTTGAAAAAAAAAATTCATTATTCGTACATTATATTAGGCTGTTTCAAAAGTTTTGTCCGTTTTTATGAATCTACGATTTAATTCCGTCGGCATAAACATTGGAAGATTGGGATTCAATAAAGTCGACGAAATCCGTTTTTGCCTAGTCCTGATTGGCAAAATGTTCCACCGATGAAAAAGTTATCGAAATGCTTAAAAAAATGACAGTCGGTTGGCGACAGGTCTGGGAAGTATGGTGGGTGAAGCAAAACTTTGACGCTCAATTCGTTTAATTTTCGGACAGTGATTTGTAACACGTACGTGTGATGCCGTGTAGCAGAATCAAACCTCTTCTGTTGCAAAAAACGCATGGGAGCTGACGCCCAGTTTTTCCGCTATCTCACGCACCCGTTTGTGATATGACAGTCTCCACCAGGATGGCGGATTGGCTGTCCTTGTTCATCTTTCACTGCCTGAACCACTGTGCATGCTGTTTTTGGCGTGTGCATTGGCTTGGGATGTGGGGGTTGAACAAACCAGCCGTCGGATGCCTGCTTCCACGTAGCCCCGCTGGATACGGGAATGACAAAATCACTTGTGGTTCTGTTATTCCCTAACTGAATGGCATCCCGACGATGGCTTGATCCTAAGGTGTGTGTATCCGTGCCGAGAGAATGAATGACACTGAGCCTATCAGCTGTCTCTAGGGAACCTTCGAGATACCGGGCGCCCTCTCGTCGTACCATCGCCTTGTCATGGTAATACAGGGCTTTGCCGTGATTGACCTTCTTTCCTAGCTACTCCTGGGACTTTTATGGACAGAATAAACTTAAAAATTCTTTCTGACGCTGAGTCTACAGAGGAGACTGTAAATTTAGATCGGAAGCGAGTCTACAGAGGAGATGGGTGTCGAGCTGACGACTCCAACTGACCTCCCTGTAAATTTAGATTAGGAATGAGGGCTTCTCAACTCTCCAACTCCTGATCCAATAACTGAACCTTAAAAAAAGGTTTGGTGGTGCAGCCAGGAAACGACTCAGTCGTCTCCTCAAGAGCGGGGTATCTTATGAAACCGCCTTGCACCAAATTCTTGAGCAGCGTACGCAGAATCTGTCTCAGGTGATGATTCACCAAAACCAGAGGCGAAAAATACCTACACGGTTGAATCTAAGGTTGACGTCAGCTGTAGCTGACGTGCAAAAACCCTTATATGCGAAAGTTGTCGCAGGTATGAAGGTGGGAATCTTGCACCTTGACTATCCGACTACCTCCTTAACGATGAAACAGCCTGCCCCGCTGGGAACAGAATCAAGTTCGGCAGAGTCGTAGTCTTACCATCTGACCTGAAAGACCATTCACCATACAAACTAATCGGCTTCGTTAAGAAGCTGGGTTTATTTGGTCGAGTGTGAATGGGTATGAGCCACAATAAAACCTTGCGGATTGCGGATGAGGGTCGAACAGACTCACTCACTTCTGACCTAACCTAACATAACCTCCACCAGGATTCTCAAATCCTCGTCCTAGATTACCGTAGATCGACCACTTCGGAGTTCATCTTCAAGACTATAATCTCCGGAACGAAATTTCGAAAACCAACGTTGAGCAGTGCGTTCATTAACACTATCATTGCCAAATGCCTGGTTAATTTTTCGGTCGGTTTCGTCAGCTTTTTGGTTCAATTTGAATTGTAGAAAAATCTCTCAACATCATAAGCTGTACTTGTGATGCACTGTTTGGAACCTTTGGTGTAGTAATGAATACTACTGGAGTTTTTTCCCAACCCCAAACCATTATTTCAACACCTCGACACGTGTTTGGATCACCAAGTGATCATCTTCAAGAGGAAGATCAAACATTGAAACGAACAAAATATCTCCATCATTTGCAAATTTGAATGTTTTAGAGCTCTTTGACAATTATTCCTTTTATAGGAAGAACATCATCATCATAATTATAAAACTTGACTGATAGAATAATCAATGGACCAATCTGCTTATGTTTATTCCACTTCCACAACATTTTTACTAGCGAATACATCAGTTTTGATACTTATACATAAATCCACTGGAGGTTGGTTAATACGTTTTTATCAAAATGAGTGATTGAGAAAAACCAGCGGAGCAAGGAAGTTTTACATTCTTCAACACGATGGTACGTACATATCTTCCTATTCATTTGAGGTTTCTACACTGGAGTGATATGCAGGATTAGACAATGATTCTCTTAAAACGGAAGTATACTCAATTTGTGTATATTTTACTCTTTTGAATAAACTGGGAAACCCGAATAGTGAAATATCGTCTGATGTAGTTGATATACTGTGATGAGTCCTGTGAAAAAGTAACCACTGGAAATAATTTACAGTGAGTTAAAATGAAAATGTAACACCATCAGTTAGTCGTTGCCGAGACTTGGAGGTACTACCTTCGTCCTCACAGTCAACGCCTACTAAACAGATGTCTGTCGCAGTATCGGACGAAACGTTTGATACTAGTTCCATTCGACCACAGCCTTATAGCAAATACTTTGTTATCTCAAATTATGTTTCAGTCAGTAAAAGCTAATGTTCTACTATCCTAATATTGTCTCACAAGAGAAATACATCGCTATAACTGAAAATGTTGACCCAATGTAAAGAAAATGATTGCCTCATCCGATTGATGATGATCGGAGTTACATCACCTGAATAAATTAACACTCCCATAACTATCACGATTCGAAATGATGGTTCATTGGTTTTGATGATACTCTGATACTCACCTACTTGTTTTCTAATATGGTATTGATGCTAGTGAAATCAAAAATTTTAAGCGCAAATCAAACGTTGTATGACGAAAATGCATATTGCCGATTTAGAAATTATATTTTGACTTATTATTTTCTTCAGTGATGAAGAAATATAAGGTTAGTTCGCCAAAACAGAGTTTTACAGTGAATAATTCCTTCAAAGCGAAAAAAATTATTGTTTGTTAAGTAAATTATTACCAATTTGACTGCCATTTTTTTAACTAGAGGGATTATGAACGAAAAAAGTATCCACTCACCTCTTATACACCTAATATAATTATTAAATTCTTTTTGAAGTCTATTTGCTGCATTCTGTTGTCTTGTGAAATTTTGTAAATGCTCGTCGAAAATTTCGTCTGCCGTCCGATCAACTTTCCCCAGATTTTGTAGTAACTGGAAAGAAAAAACAAATTGAGTGATGCGTTGCAGTTATATGATGAAATTAAAACAATAGGTTAGTGTACACTGACAGGAGAGATACAAATATTCACTTGAAGGGTCCACAGACGATGCAGTTTGTTGAAATTCCCGATTGTAAATCGTGAATATCGCACTAAGAAAGTTTTGCTCAAACGTGAAGATATTCCAAGCAATCGGTTGTACAACTAGTTCATTATATTGTTCACCGTGGCACCAGTATTTTCGAAAAAGGAAACAATAGCTGCTGCATTATTTTCATATGACACTAATAATGAGATATCACATGTGAACTACGTACTATAAAAACTAGGGATTTTAAAAATTGCCAACGAATGGACGACGATTTAATCAAAAAGCTATTAGAGTTAGTTTAGACAAAAATTACGAAACCGATAATAGGCTGGCTAAATGTATGTCAAACGTTATACTTCTGACTCAGCTCTATTCAGGAAATGGTAAAAAGATATAAAATCGCCCGTTTAAAAAAATTACATATCATATATGATAACTTGGGGCGGTGGATTTACTAATGAGACGCACAATGAAGTAAAACACAAAATTTTAATATGTTTATTTATGGAACTCGAAAAAGCAGTTTCCACCATTACAAGCACATAAAAAATTTACAAACAGTATATTTGACAAAAGTAAGCGTCAAGCATCGTTTGAGTGCTTCGCTGCTTCTTCTTTGTTGGCTTCACATTTTACTGATCCAATGCTTCAGTTTCTTCAGAGCTACTGGCATCGCGTTCAGTTTCAGCCTCTGCAGTTTTAGACTCTGCAATGGAAGCGTTAAACTCCATGTGGTCTAGGAATCGTCTCAGCTTCATCCTGTCGATATTCAAGTCTGCCTGCAGCTAGTCAAGTCATCCTGTAGAAGTCAAACGAATGGTAGATGCATATCGGATTGTCCATTTCTTCGTTCTTGTCCTCATAGAGTCCTTTCTCAAAACTCTATCAAATAAATCGACGCTCCCCATTTTTTATTGTATTCCTTGATTAGTCCAGGTTGCTTCATTTCAATATACTTTGAATCCACTTTGGACCATCTCGTACAAGATACGAGTGGTTCCATGCCAGACCTATCAGTAAAAACTGCCGTTGAAAGTGGCAAAGTGTCATAAAGTATTGAACAAATCGGCCTTCAACTCTAATTTCTCTGGTACCCAACATAAAATAGGCCTACTAGACGAGTCATTACTTCCATACATACAGCGTGTAACAACGAAAACTTAACAGAGCCGTTTTTTAATATGAAAAGTAGGATTTTTNGCTCTGTTAAGTTTTCTTTGTTACACACTGTTTAGAAATCTAAAAGTAAGTACTCTTTCTGGTTATAACAAAATTCTTCAATCCAACTGGGTTAGGTTTTCCGCTTACAAATTGTCTTATCGCAACATAACCATGACTTGAATTGAATTGAGACTTGATATGTCCTGTTATTTAGAAGGCAACTCCGTTGAACAGAGTCCAGTAGCGAATGAACTTTCCAGAAACGGTCTACTTGTCTTTGTTCATTAGAAACAACATTGTCCCCCACTACTTTTAGGCGTGTACGTAGCTCAAAGAAACGATTTCGGGAAATATTGTCGGCCACTAGAGGTACTCTTGTATTACGGCCTCTAAACATTTTTATGCGTGGTAAGCCACAGAGGGTAATTAACATGCAACAGCCCATACATTCACAAAGCTCTTTTGAAGTAATCTTTACAGATTTTCCGGTGCTATTAAAGTATCACTGGGGTCATGGATTCAAAAAAATCAAACACCTCAGTGACTGACATATTTGTAAAAGTATGACGTTATCGTCGCTATTGTAATGTACTACTGATTTCAAAGTAGGAGCATCAAACTGACGATCACGCCTCTAATTCTTAGCAAAATTAGACGAATCGAAGTCATCGATCATTTTCGTTTGGATATGGAGACACATTTCGATCTTGAAATTCATACAATAAAGCATCTTAATTTGAAGGTAGTGAATTTTCATCGGACTCAAACTGATCAAGATCAATATTCCCCGACAATATCTGTAGTTGTTCTCTAGTTAGCGTTTCTGTAAAGTAACATATCCATGAATATTACTGGAGTTCTATCCCAGCACCAAACACATTTCGATGTGTTGAAAATAACGGTTTTGGGCTTTTCTGAAATATTCTTCAATCTACAGGGTTCCTCTGCTAATATTTTACCATCATTCAATGCGTCTGCTACAAACAAAATGACAGTATCAATATGTACGGACGAATGCCATTTCAGCAAGAAATTTAAATAAACAAATAAAATCGGTCCCAGAACCGAACCCTGTGGGACACCGCAATGTACTCCGGATGATCTAGTGTAATATAATCACGAGCAAGCGAGAAAGCTTCAATGTTGATCCTATTCATCAATCTAATGAAACCATCTGATATTGGGCAAGAGCCAATTCGTCAGGAGCCCTAGTACAAGACTTATCTTCGGCACCATTATCTGCAAAGGATACGACAAACTTTCACTCGAGTTTAGATGCGGAACGAAGCATCTTCGTGTTCATCTTTTATCATCGATCAGAAAGATAAGGTTGGTGTTCTCGGACGTTCCACGTTCCATTTAGATGTTACTTTCGCTCAGGCAATGCTCTCAGAACGTATTGAAAATGTTCATGCAATTGGGTTGTTCAATCAAGTGTAATTTTGTGCGTTACTATATATATTTTGTTGATAGTTTTCATCCACAATACTATGGCAAACATTTCAAACCGATAGCATTTATCGCTATTGAATGACGCGACTTTAAAAGTACGCGTTTGTCGGAAAACAGTGTGACGTCACGAGATATGTGCTATTGTCGATACAGAGCTTGAATCACGTCTGCAATGTTATAAAGCGAAGCATTTGCTGTTTGAAGTTTAAAAGAAGATGTGTTTGAAATGGGCAAACATAAGTAATATACAAGTGAGCTCAAACATGATTATGGAATAAAGAATAAAGACTGAATGAAAAGAGAAATGAAAATTTCCATGTTTTTACCACTTTTAATTGTAACTAACGTTACTGCAGTTTCGTCCTATATGGACATTCTCAAACTAATACAATAAAGTTTGAGAATGTCCATATAGGACGAAACTGAATTTCTCTTTTCATTATGATGTCTTACCACGTAGAAACGGCTACATCCATCAATTTAATAAAGACTGAGTTTTTTTAATAAAAAAAAGGGAAAACTGGAACCTCTGACGCAGTATTGTTATAATAGGTTTGATTGATGACTGGTTTACTTTATGGTAATTCATGATCACTTAAATGAAATGAATAAAAACACTTTTGTCTAAATACCACTGGTAGATTTTATTTATAAACACAAAAGTGTTTTTATTCATTTCATTTAAGTAAGTATTGGTATGTTAAGGTATTAAGTAAAGTTTTGTTCCCCTATTCAGTAAGAGGTATAAATACATTTATACGTTTTGTGAATATTTTCAATTTTGGTAACGCAGTATTAATTGTTGCATTTCGAGTTGAATGAACACACCTACCTACTATACAATACATTTTTGGGACTTTTCTATCATCCATACGTCCACAACTTAGGTAGATGAATTCAAATAATCAGAATATAATTTAACTTTCACAGCCCTTACACAGAAACGTCGGAAACTAATATCGATTCCTAGCTGGTCCGCATTTCCTATATCCGAAGACGTCACGCCCCATTTCGGTGAACCGCTTCTTTGGGGCTCGGATTTACTCAGAATATATTTCCATTTCAAAACGACCCTATTTTTGTGTACTTCCATAAAAATTATATACTTTTCTACCGATACACAAAAAAACTAAATTAGTTTTCAACCCTTTGGTGAGGATTCTTTAACATATCATTCAGAATGATATGTTCATTCTGACTGGACTAACGCAGATATATAAACCCTTTGTTGCGCTCAACTGCAGACAGCATCCGATCTCTTTACAGTTCAGTGAAAGCGTTTCTTTTCTCTACATTTGATGACAGAGATGTTAGATTTAGTTCAGGTTTTCATTTTCTATATTCGCCGACACCATTATTTGAAAAAAGTCTAACTTTCTGTCATAAGCTATATGTCCTGTAGAATTTGTTGTTTTTTTTCACATATAGTCGGTGGGCATACTTGAAGACTGGCTATAAATCAAATCTTCTAAAGGAACAATTTGTTCAGGCCAGTCTCAACTCTCGACACTGTAGGTTAATGGACTGACACCTATCAGAAAACAATTACTTCCCTGGCTAATACCACAAAGGGCGTTGGATTATATCCGACAGGTGTCACGCATGATTCTTCACTGAACTTTTTCCTGCATATGCTGTTGGCGATACAACTGCCGCAATAAATTTTCAATTATAGGAACACACATGCAGACCGGCTTCGGGCTGTTTGGTCACTCGTCAGTGCAAGGTAGTGTCTATTATCAACATGAAGTCGATTATTTCCGATAATTGAAAATCAAATTTCCTTCAGAGTATCATTCCGCGAACTACGCTGAAGCGGACAACAAACAATAGATTTGTCATCGCCCCATCTGCCTGTGAACGAGGTAACCAACCGCATATCCGAAATTTGCCCAATTCCTCGTATAAGGAAAAAAAACTTCACATATAGTCAGTGAACATACTTGAAGACTGGATATAAATCAAATCTTCTAAAGGAACATTATTTTTAGGCTAGTCTCAACTCTATACACTGTAGAAAGTGAAGAATCCTGCACTGACAGCTTTCGGATATAATCCAACGCACTTCGTGGTATTAGTCAGGGGAGTAGTTATTTTTTGATAGGTGTCAGTTCATTAACCTAGGCTTAGGTTCCATAATTAAATATTTTCTGCGTCCAAGGGGCGGGCTCCCCCGCACCCCTTGCTGGATCCGCCACCGCTTCTAACCGTTGTTGGCAGCAATTTTTTTGACAAAACTCAGTTCTCTTTATAAATTACTCTCAGAAAGTGGAATATTGAAGGTTCTC